TTGCCCTTTCAGTCTTTTCAGTGATTTTATAAAGACTTATTACTCAATGTTAAATCCCTTTTTGCTTGACAGACCTAGTGTGATTCTCTTTTATTGGCTGAACTACCTGATGAAACCAGCTTGCCACTAACCATTGTGTAACACTGGGCAAGTGACTTTCCCTGCTAGGCCTCCACACCCACTTGTTGAGGACCCACAGAATTTCTCTGGTAGCAGAAAGATATCCAAGTACTGCTTACAGGCATGGGTTTCATAGGGGCTACTTAGTTTCCAGTAGAAGGAATACTGGTTGCATTTTTACTCCCTTATGAAAGTGGATCTCATCTCACCTGTAATCTCAAGAGAAGCTCATATATCTGCCATATGTAAGTAGAAACTCATTTGACCCTTCCATGGTCAAATGAATTTCTATACTTCCCTCTCATCTTCCAAACCTGAACAAGAGACACATTTATTTGTGTCAAATTATTGCCCCATCCAAACCCTTCCTTAGAAGGTCAGATCCTTCTGACAAGGGGTGGAAATTTGTGGTCAGTCATTTCACCCTATAAAAATTATAGTGGCCAATGCTGTCAGTGCCCTACCCACACTCCTTCAGCTTCAACACTTTAATGTGCCCCAGGTATTTCCAACCGTAGGTATCTGCATCACTTTACTGGAATGTTTCCTCCAAAGCCCAGAAAAGCCTAGTCTGCCTCTGTGCAAGGAAGCCTGGCTACGCCAGAGAATTAACACTCCTCAAACAAGGGCTGGCAAGGTGGTGTATAAAGACTCCAGCTCTCTTGCCCCTGGGTGGGATAGCTCAGAATAGGTGGCATGTTTTTCTCATCATTTTTCAGAGTTTTCACATAAGATTTTTCAACTCAGGTTGCCCATAGTGGTAGCTGGCTTAAGTTTGTGAGCCTTGATTGGCTGTCTTTCCTTCCCAGCCTCTGTTTCCAAATAAACCCCCTGCCTTTGTATGCTTGCTCAGAGTCTGCTTCTGAGGAAAGTCAACCTAAGGCAGTTAGTTTATCAAATGCTTTTCTTTGTGACAGCCACTTACACTCAGGGGACTGAGATATCGGGGATTTTTATAGATGAAGAGGAAAAGGAAATTCTGGAGTTAGAATGAAAGAGTAGTCTGTGTCAGGGGCTATATATTGCTGCATGAAGGTCCCAAGGAATTGAGGAAAAGCCAGGAAGAGCAGGAAGAAGGGTGAAGAGCATGGGATGCTTCTTCATGGCCATCACATATAAAACTCTGAGCCTAGAGCCTGACATGTAACAAGGGCCCAAATGTGTTTGTATCTCTTGTTGAGTGTTTTCGTTTTCTTTAGCACTTAGCCCTGGGGATCAGATCATTCATTCATCCTTTCATTCATTGATTTGGTAACATATTTACTCACTCAACAATGAAAATCATTTCTTTAATACATATGTTGTATTAGTAACTGTGCTAAGTCCTGGGATGGAAAGATGAATAGGGCACAACTCTTGCCTTTAAGATGCTTCTAGTGAAAAGGCCCAGAATGGAAAGTGCTCCTCCCACTCAGTACCAAAAATCCTTCCCAATTCAGACTCACTTGCTGGGGTCTTTGTAAAGAGGTCTTTGCTTGACTCCGGAAGGGGTCGGCTAGAGTCCACTACACACTGTATTTTGCTTATTTAAAGCAAACAAGTAATAATGTAATGGCAGGAAGTCTCATAAAATGGTTATTTCTGTTCCCGGACTACTCTGGGGTTCCATCTAATTTATAAACATTGTTTTATGAAAAATTGAGATCATTCTTGGAAGTGTCTAGAGAGAATGACCTTTGCTTGTTTTGGTGCAGTGTTTGTGTGTGAGTGTGTACACGGCTATTGTTGCTAAGGAGGCGATGGCCAGCCATGGGTAATGGCTGTCTTTCCATTCTGCACATTTTCTTAGTCAGGGAGGGTGTAACTGACACCCCCTCCCACACCCAGCTCTCCCCAGAAAGACAGAAATGGAGTCAGACCACGGAGTCAGCAGTCTAACTGAGTGCCTGGGAAAGGCTGGTTTTACCACTGCTACAATTAGGACAAGTTCCACCATGCCTTCAGGTGCTTTCAGACCCAGAAATTTTGCGGCACATGCCTCAAGTAGTTTCTCATCTAACTCTTTATGAGAGTCAGGCATTAACACCAAGCTCTGTCTCTAGGGATCTGCACCCAAGCTTAAGATGGTGGGGAAATGTGCTTTATATGGGTGGGGGAGGGGTGGGCTAGTGGGGAGCAGAGAATCAGATTCTAGTGAATCTTAGGAGTGCCTAGTCCCAGGAATAATTTGGCAAAGGATTAAAAAGCAAAAAGTTAGAGTCACTTTCCAACTCTGCCACTTAACTTGCTGTATTGCCCTGGACACATCACTTAACCTCTCTGTGCCCCAGGTTTTTCAAATAGTAAAAATACCTGTATCATACTTTATAAAATAACTCAACAAATATTTATAACGTGTATACAATACATTGCAGGCAGCCTCTGACAGGCATTTGGTTAGGCTACTTCCTTTGTGTGAAATGTTCTTTCCTCAAATATCTGCCCAGATCCACCCCCCTTCATTTAGTTTCTGCCCAAATGTCACCTCTGTCTAGAAGTCTTCCCTGCTCAGCCACTTCTTAAAGAGCAGCCTTTTTATTCTTTTTTCTCTATCCCCTTCTCTGCTATCCTGTTATTCTTAGCACTTATCGTTACCTAAAATTATGTCATGTGTATCTTTTTATTTAACTAGTTTGTTCTTATTTTCTGTTTTCCGTAGCTAGGATGTGCGTACTATGGGGGCAAAGACGACTTTTCACCACTGCATTCAAAACACACATAATGATGTCAAGCACATAATAGGTACTCATTACATGTTAGTCAAATTGACTGATATGTGTACGCTCTCCCAGAGTGTGTACTCTGAACTAATTTAGCAATTGGAAATCCCAGATTAAACGTGAATGTTAAACGTGAATGTGAATGATGCCTCTATCAGAATTTGCCAGACTTGGTTAGGCTTGTGATTGAAACAATTAGCGTTTTCCCTTAATAGCCACAGAGGTCACTTTTTTCTGTATCTTCATCTCCTTCTTCCCCCAGCTCTCTCTCATGGTTTTCCTTAGCTCTGGACTGTTTTGGGAGTGAATCTTTTGACTCTGGGATCATTTTTCTCTTCGTATGGACCTGAGGCACTGCAGGGGGGAGGCATCCTGCTGCAGCTCCTCGGAAAGCATTTGGAGGAGGTTGTCATGGGCTACACAGCTCCCCTGGGGCTTTGCTGGAGCCCTCATATCCATGAGGTAATGAATGTGACCCTCTCACACAGCCAGAGCACACACGAGCTAATTTGGAGAGCAAATTCTGAAAAGGTTGATGTAATTGGCCCCAAGGGCCCCTGGGTGGGGTCAGAAGGAGAAGACAGCCTTTTCACTGGGCTGGCATGGCCTAACTCTCCACAAACAAGAATTGGCTAATGGGAAGACAGTCACACACACTCATGAATTATCAATGTAGATGGTAACCCCACTGACTTTCTAAGGCCACAGATGCTCCTGTAGGGGCTGTGATGAATGAGAAGTTAAAATAAGAAAGCAGAAATGCATGGAGGTGAAGTGGCTTACCCAAGGTCACACGGCACGTGAGTGACACGGCTGGGATTAAAGCCTAGTTTGCCTCTTCCTGAGCTACACTATAAGCAAATTTAAGACAAGGACTGAGTCTAACTTGCTCATCCTAGATTCCTCAGCACCTAGGACAGTGCCTGGCACTGACAGATGTAGAACATCCATACACCCACCATTTTGACCTAACATATAGGAAAAGAAGCGAGAGAAGCAGAGAGAACAAAATCTTGGGTGGCTGCTATGGTTATCCCTGAGCTTTTACCAAGCGAGCTTTTCCATGTCTGTCCTCAGTACTTCCTTCACAGTTGTCTCCTGGCATTTTGTCTCCACAGTTCTTCTAAGAGAGCTTTGGAATGTTTGATCCGATGGCATTGGTGAGGAAGAATCTAAGTATTATTGTTTCTCCATTTTAGGGTCATTAAAAAAAAAGAAACCACTTTTGGACCTGTTATATCCCCATTGGGTCAACAGGTCAATGGAATCCAATTAATCAACTCACTGAAAACAAATTGCCTAGCTGAAGTGACTAGAGCCATCTAGCTAAGTATGTCACCAGAAAGAGGTAAAATGATAGTTAGCATTGTGTGGGGCAGAATGCAGATTCCTGGATTTGAAGCCCAGAGGTTCTAATTCAGTGGACGTGAGGTATGGCCTATGAATCTGGATTTTAGCAAGCATCCTGATGAACTAGATGCAGGTGATTCAGGGCCTTTGCACGACATTGGGTGCAAAAGCCCTCATATGGGAGGTAAGAGATAAAAATTATAGTCAGGACACACCTCTATGCAACTATGGGAACTTATCATTTGACCTTCTTGGACATGACTTAACTAGGCAATGAACACATCATTTGGGGCTTGCAAGCTGGCAGCTTGGTGACTTCATATGGCTTCCAGAAGGGTGTGTTATTGCCATTTTCTTCAGCACTTTAAGCAGTCTTTTTATTGTAGGGCCGTAAAATCTATCAAGCATATTAATGTCAACCATGTTTCACATTCCAAATTAAAAATAATTTAAATTAGCTACAAAATAGCGAAACTGCAGTTGGTTGGTTAACATGTTACATTTTGTAGTTATCTAATTAAATGTTACTTCTGATTCTGTAATTTTCTTTTTATGTTTTGGAACCAAAGCAGTTTTTTTCTAAGGTTCAAACATTTCTAGAAGGTCTTTAAAAACTTAGGTCCTAGATAATATGTCTTTAGTTTTTCTAATAGTTGGAATTGCTCTACTTTTGTTTGTCTAAGAGAGTATTTTAACAGGCAATAAAACTAGTTAGGAGTTAGCTTGATGGGAATATAAGCAGCTTAACCTCTAGGATCTTATATACCATCCATTTCATTTCATTCAATTCTTTTTTTTTTTTTTTTTTTGAAACAGAGTCTCACCATTCCATCCAATTCTTATTGCCTGTCGGCCCGTGGACTTGTTACCCATTATCCATCATGGGATCTACACTTAGAAAGTAGAGAAAAAGAAAACACAAAGAAAGACATTGTGTAAATATATTGATCATGACCAATTAGAAGACTAATTATCAAACAGAATGTTGAAGCCATTTTATTAAAATATAGGCATTAATTGAGACTTCCTCTATTAAAAAAAGGAGTCAAATGTGAATGAATTTTCTCCAAACCCTCTTTAAAAGACAGGATCCTGAGCAAAAGGTTTGCTACCCTACAGGGCTCCACATTTCATTGTGTAGGCCACTGGTCACCCATGGTCATTTACACTTACATTTAGATGAATTAAAATAAAATACAATAAAATAAAAACTCAGTTATTTAGGCATACTAGAGACATTTCAAGTGCTCAGTGATCACATGTAACTAGAAGCTATTGAATTAGACAGTGCAGGTGTGGAATATTACCATCATCATTGAAAGTTATGTGGAGAGTACTGCTGTAGGGGATGTCTCTTGCTCTTATCAAATAATCTGTTGATTCACATTTTGTTGAAACAGGTTTAGTCATCTGTGTTTCAATTTCTATGTCTAATGTCAATATGGAAGAATGTTTGGTGCCATGGGTAATCAATGGAATGATGAAATATTCTTTAATAAAGTGAACTTTGTAGTACATTAATATGTCTTTTCCTTATTGGAAGCACAAGATGAGTTTTTAAAAATTCAAAACTGATTTCTAAAATGTCACCCAAGGCCAGGTGCAGCAGCTCACACCTGTAATCCCAGCACTATGAGAGGCTAAGGTGGGAGGATCACTTCAGCCCAGGAGTTTGAGACCAGCCTGGACAACACAGGGAGACCCTCATCTCTACAAATAATAACAAAAAATTAGCCAGGCATGGTGGCAGGCACCTGTGGTCCCAGCTGCTTGAGAGGCTGAGTCTAGGAAGTTGAGGTTGCAGTGAGCTGTGATTGTGCCACCACACTCCAGCTTGAGTGACAGAGTGAGACTCTGTCTCAAAAAAATAAAAATAAAAGCCAGCCAAGCTAATGTTAACTCAAAGCTGCAATGCAGATGGTTATAAACAAAACATTCCATATAATGAATAACCTTTTGATTTGATAATTTATATGAGGAGTATTTGATACTTTTGTTGCAGTTATCAGACACAACTAAGAAAAAGATACTGTTAATGAAACTAGGTCATCTGTTTATTTAATCATTCAATTAAAATACAAGGAAAAGAACAACTGATATTTTTAGAACAATCTACAAAAAGAATTTCACGCTGTACCTCAAATTAGAGACAAGTATATTTCATGTCTAACCTTTATTCTTATTCTTCAACTTTGTTTTCACCTTCTTTAACTCAGTCTTAATTCTCCCTTTTCCTTTTTTTCCAACACTTGCAAGTTTTTAATCCTTTAGAAAATGATTTCCAAAGAATAGTACACATAACACTTTAGATGGAATAAAGATATTAACTTTAAAATTTATATATTAGAACAATATAATTGTTCCTTCAAAATCATGAATTCTCAGATATTAAGGTTTAAAAAATAAATTTAAGCAAAGATATAAGACAATTTTTAAAATGCTAGATAAATAATAGTAGTGGTATCTTGATAGAAAAAAATCATGAAGTTGGTATGTAAAAAACCGAAGCTTAGAAAATATTGTTTAAGGTAACCATCAGTATTACCTGGCATCAACCCCCTGGCATACTATCCCTTAATTGTTTTAGATTTATGCTAAAAAGGCCTTGAGTTGGCCATAGGTGTCATGCTTGTTCCAGCTGCAATACTCCAGCATTATTTAGAATCTCAGTCTTATTTTCGAACTTCCATGAACAAGTGAGCATTTTTTCCATCTCCCCAACATATTCCACACCATATTTTAGCTTCCCTGCTAGACCTGTGGCTTTCTATTCTTACCTGTGTGCCATATACCCTTTTTTCTTCCTGAGAAGTCCCAGTTCTGACTGGTATTGTACATACTTCAAATACACTGAAGAGTCTTGGTTTAGTGGCATTCACTTTGAGAACTTAGATTAACATGATAAGAGTCTTCCCATCAAATCAAAATTCAGTCATTACCTGTTCAATTATATGATGGGCCTGTGGACTTACATTTTTAGTTATATTTTAAAGAGGGGTGGCACAAAGCCATTGCTTTATTGAAGCATTTATCAGAGTACCCCATTACATACTTGTCCTCGATGTCAATTAGAAGAAATAAATTTAGGAAACACTGAATGTCAAATTCCCCCTCTTGGACTTTCCCATTCCACAGCATTATGATGTCATGATTAAACATGCAAGTTCTGTAACCAGATGGCCCAAACCGCAAACTCAGCCACCACTTACAAGCTCTGTGCCTCTGTTTCTTCATTTGTAAAATGGGGAACACAATTAGTGCCTATCTCATAGGGTTATTGCCAAGTTTAAATAGGCCACTGTGGGTAATGTACTTTGCACAGAGCCAGTCACAGAGCAAGTATGCCATCGTGCTTTGTACAACAAAAGTATATTAGGCCGAACGCAGTGTCTCACACCTGTAATCTCAGCACTTTGGGAGGCTAACGCGGGTGGATCACTTGAAGTCAGGAGTTCGAGACCAGATTGGCCAGCATGGTGAAACCCCATCTCTACTAAAAATAAAAAAATTAGCTGGGCGTGGCGCTGGGCACCTGTAGTCCCAGCTATTCGGGAGGCTGAGGCAGGAGAATCACTTGAACCTGGGAGGCGGAGGTTGCAGTGAGCCAAGATCACGCCACTGCACTCCAGCCTGCTAATAGAGTGAGACTCTGTCTAAAAAAGAAAAAAGAAAAGAAAAAAAGTATATTAAACATTGTGAGAAGTCCCGCAGGGTTTAAACCTATTGAACTTGGTTCAACCCAAATTTATTTGATTTTGGAAGCATCTTTCGAGTATAAGTCTTTAGAATATTCATGGATCCACAATTTTGAAGACTTGTGTTTGAAAGTCAGGAGCTCAGAAAGCCAATTGCTTCCTTCAAGGTACTTTTCTGTGTGAGGGTCTGCTGCCCCCAGGTGGACAGAAAGACCTTGGCTGGAAACCCAGAGTCTGCCCTGCCAAGCTCCCCACAGGGGTAATTAAGAGAAAGTAGAATAAATAAATAATTTTTTTCTGTTACTATGTGTTTTAAAATAATTTGAGGAAGAGTTATTTATTAAAATACTAAGTATAAAAATGGATATTACTAGACAGAGGAAGTACCAAGAGCTAAGACTCCAAGTTGCTCCTCATGAAAAGACAATCTTTGTATTTTTGTAGCCCCTGCTCGGAGAACTGCTGAGACAGGCACGCAATAGGTATCAACAAATATTTGTGGAATAAATGACTGGCTCATTGACTTATTACAAAGAAGGGCAGAAAATCTGAGTGAATGTTATGTTTCTAATTACATTCTTTAGGGAGCTCAAAGAACTGCTGCAAATATGTATAAAAATTCCAGGTAAATGACTGGGAGCTTTTTCTCCGGGAAGATTCAGTACTCATTAAGGAAGAAAGGAAAGCTAATAATATTTTAACAAATGTGTCAGCTAGAATTAAAATTCAAAGGCTCTCAACAGATAACCAGTAAGTTTGGCTAACCAGAATAACCAACCCTATAAAAATTACAGCCCTATAATTAAGTATAACTGAGTTTTTCTCTGAAACAGCAATGTGAGAAAGTGGAAGGTGAGACCAGTGGTTTTCAACAGCAGCATACCAAAGAAGTTTCTACTTTCCAAGTTTCTAAAATCATTACTTTTTGTTCTTGTCTTCTCTCCTTTTTCTCTTTATTTGTATTACTGTTAAATATGAGCCATTTTGTGGACTGTAGTTGGGAAGACAGACATAAAAGCAGTAATCTAACTACTCATACTAGAGAACAGGAGGTGATGGAGAGAAAACCTGGGCATTGTTCAGTTGGAGGCCTCAGGTTCTGAGCGGCAGTAAGTGCCTTTGATTAGGTGAAGCAGAAGTAACCATGTATCAGAAAGGCACTGGGGAGCTCCGATCCCGATGTGTAGAAGGAATGCAAGCAGCTCAAGCCTCCTCAGCAGCAGAAATTCACAAGCTAAATTCACGAGCTTTCTGTCATGGATCATTAACATTATTCATTTCTAATGACAGTTTCTGTATCTCTGTGTTTACAGTCAGAGAGAAGGGAGCTGATTGGCCAAACTGATGTCAGATGTGCCTGAATATTTCCCGTTTGCTTCTCCAAGTGCATTAATTTTCCTTCCCCACCCTTGTCTGCTCTGCTCTGAGTCCCAGGCGGGTCAGCCTGAATGGACTGAGTCATGGACCCTTTGCCCTCTGACTTCCAGTTGGGTTCAGCCGATGGAGAGTGCTGCAGGAGATCAGAGGGAAAGAGGGGAGTGATTGGCATATTTATTCCCCTAGCTGCCTCCCTGCTGGGCCATGTGGCCTGGCTACCTCCCTCTACTCAATGTAACAGCTACTGTTAAAGGTCTTTCTTTCCGTTTAAGCTTAGGGGTGGGGCTTTGCCTATTCCTTTTATATATATAATTTTTTACGACTTGCCCATTGCTTGTATCCAGTCCCCATAATGAATTCCTCCCAGTTTACTCAATTTGCGTATTCCTTCTGTTCCTGTTGGGTCCTGATAGATAATAGAGAAATACCACACAATCCATTACGCAATTACTCAGCATCTCTGGGCTACACTTTCCTCAGCTGAAAAAATAGGTCAATACTTCATGGAGTTATAGTAAGGCTTAAGTGGGTTAATATATGTAAAGCTTGGCACATTAAAAAAAACAACAAACCTAGGCTATTATTATCGACATTTTGTCATTGTGATGAGTTCATTAAATATATTTTTATAAATGTGATTAAAAATGTTATGCTTGTAAGAGACTTCACATAAGCACTTTTCAAACTCAGTAAAGATTCACGTGTGACCAAGTATCTCCATTTGGGCCAGAAGAAAGTGAGATTATAATAGTTCTGGTAGCCTTCCCAGGAGTAGGTAGGTAGTGGGTTTCTGAACTAATTGTATGGATTGACTTATGTTAACTTCTTAAGAGATGGGCTGTGAGCAGCCTTCCGCCCACTGATCACTCTCAACCACTGAATCCATCAGTAAAGAGAGCCCATCTTCAGAGGAGCACCAAAGGCAGACACTGCCCTCTCTTCATGGAGCAACATTACCTGCTGGCCCATCCTGCATGATGAAAAATACTCCCTTTAAAAATGTCCCCTTCCAGGGAAGGCTCTGGATCCCAGAATACTACATAACGGGTTTACTTACTCTTCACGGCCCAAAGCCAGTTCCACAATGTCTGCCCTTAACTTCTGTTCTCTAGACCTGTGGTACCTAGAAAGGAAGAGATTTGCTGAGAAGGCTCCATCTTTAGGACACGTCCCATTTGTTCAGCCAGAGATTTTGTTTTAGGGGTTTTTTTTGTTTGTTTTCCCCCTAAGATAAGAAATTACCACGGTTCTAAGGTTGGAGAATGTCATTGAAGGCAGGCAACATGGCTTTGTTTAAAAAGCATGAGGTCTGAAGCGAGAGACACCTGGGTTTAAATCCCAATTTGGTCATTTATTAGCTGGATGACCTTGGGAAAGTTACTCACCATCTCTGGGCTGAAGGATCATCATCAGTAAATGAGGGTGTACATCTTGTTTCTGTAGGATTCTTGTGAAGATTATGAGAAGATGGAAACTGTCTGACAGGGTACCTGATGCAATCAATAAACGGTGACAATTATTGGCAGAAATAGTAGTCATTTTCATTCTTAAAGTCCTTACCTGTCATGCAGAAATACTCCAAAGCATCTCATAGATGCATATATTCTGGATTGGGAGGGGCCAAAATATCCAGTTACTTCAACAACCTCTCCTCCCCAACCCCCTGCCAGACAGAACTCTACAAAGCCAGTGGGCAAGGTGTAGGGATCCTCCTGGGACTTCCAGTTGGCTTAAATCTAGACACGTGACTACATTTAGTGAGGACTCACTCTGTGATGGGCACTGCTCTAAGACTTCCATAAATATTTTCTAAGTTAATACTCAGCACAATCTGTGTTGTATTTCCTACCATTGCCCCCATCTTACAGATGATGGAACTAAGCCTCAAAAGAGTTAAGTGACTTTTCCAAAGTCACATAACCCATGAGTGGATGCAGAATTTGACCCCAGGCAGCCCTCCTTTTTAACCACTCTATTGTGCTGGCTTAATATCTGGCTAAAAGACACAGCAAAACAGTCATAGGCTCTACATGCTAACATGGCTACTTGGACTAAATTGACGCATCAGCACAGCAACTGATCTGATTGATTTGAGCATGCTGCATCTACTGGAAATACAGACGTCCTATAGACCAGAGCTTCTCAACCCTGGAAGCAGATGAGGATCACTTGGAGAGCTTTTTAAAAAGTACCAATGCCTGTACCTTACTGAAGGAGACTCCTATTTAATTGCTCTGGGTGGAATCTGGGCCCAGAAAATTTTCAAATCTCCCAAAAAGTTCTAATACGTAGCCAGTGTTGAGAATCACTGGTGTAGACTCTTCTTGTCCTTGATGGTGACACTTAGTCACAGAGCTTCTTGGAGTTCTTTAGAGGTTGGGTTTGTTTATCTTGACATTTAGTTCAGAACCAATTAGCTGATCCTCATACACTATGCAATAATACATTGTGTAAATTCTGACTTGGGACACCACTTTGCATAGAAATACGAGCCTTTCCAAAGAGAACATTTTTCTGTATTACTAAATGTAGTCAAGTTTCCTTTGGAAAATGGCAAAATCCAAATCTCTTTTTCCTACTAATCATGTGTTGCAAAAAGATTGCCTTGAAACGTTGCAAGGCAGCCAACACCATTCAGTAAATTACACCATGTAACTGGCTTAGGCCTCATTAGGCTTGCCCTCTTTGGCCTTATCAAGGGAACAGCCACTTCCCTTTGCAATCCCTTCTGGGAATGGATTTCTTCACTTTTCCCTGAAAGGTCAAGACATCCATCTTTCCCTGAATCTCTCACAAGAAGTGACAGTTCAGCTTTTTTTATTATCTTTTTGTGCCTCTGCTTTGAGGAGGAATTTTACTTAAAAATTAAAGATATCTTCAATTGTAGATAATTTATATTTGAAACCAAAACAGAACAATCTTGTTTTGAAAAAGAATACTTATAGTGAATTGTGTTAGACGTCTAACGAGCATTCCTCTTCCTCTTTCCTAACAGGATATGATTTTGTTTAGGTATCTGTCCCCTCCTCTGTACAGCTCATGTGTATTCAATGTCCATTTATGCTCATAATTCCGTTTGTTTATCCTTCTCCACTGTGACCTAGAATCTGAGTGCCTGATCTGGTGATGGGTATGCATTGATGGCATTAATGGCTTCCTTGCACTGTGGCTTTCAGAGTGAGGGTGGGTATCTATTCTTCTGGTTTCATTTTTTCCTAGGTAGTTGCAAGTTGACAGCATCCCTCTATGAATGCACAAAGAACCTCTTGGGCAACCCTCCCTATCTGATTCTCGGCACTTGTGTTTTAATAACAGCCCCCTAATCCTCAGGCTGAGGGCAGTATTGGTTCCTGTTGTTGCCAGCCCTGGACACTGCACCATCCCTTGCTGAGTTCCCTAAACTTTGACCACAGCTTTATAGTCACTTTATTAAATTCTCATTAAACTAGTTTCAATGTGTTGTCTGCTCCCTGCTGGGACACTGACAGATGCGTGACTCACATCTCCAGTTCCAGGGTCTGAATCTTGGTTGTCCTAACCTAGTCACAGTATCCCATGGACCAGTGGTCAGTTCAGACACCGGGATTAAGGCAATCAGTGCGTGGAACTTCCTTAAGAAATATTTGTGATGCAGAGGTGAGCACCTGACTTATGTTGGCCAATTAGATGGAAGGGAAAAAGGAAGTACCTGGCTTCAGCTTCCAGTAGTAGCTGTCTTGTGAGTGAGAGGGAAGACACTGTGAGCACAAAGACAACACCTCACGGGGCAGAGCCTGGAATTATAACACTGATATATATGTCACATATGTGGGCTTACTGTCACATATATGGGCTTATTGTTATAGGAAATAATAAATCTCCTCATAGGTTAAACCCAGTTTAGTTTTGTTTCTGTTTTTGTAATTTGCTGCTGAAAGCACCATAGCTAATGTGATTTGTTAGCATTTCTTTTAGTTGTGTAGCAGCCATGGGGTTTAAAGCATTTCCCATGCATTGTTCATTTTCATTTTTTCAAAAGCCATGTTAATGATTATAGTAATATTAATAGTTAGGGTAATAAGTAATAACTATATCTATGTGCTAGGCACTATTCAAAGCACTTTATAGATGTTAATTTGGTTAATCATCACAACAACTCTATTCAATAGGTACTACTATCATTCCTATTAAGGTTATTAGATGACAGACAGAAAACCCTGAGATATCAAAAACGTATATCAGGTCACCCAGCTGGTAAGTAGCAAAGCTGAAATTTGAGCTCAGACAGTCCAATCCCAGAGTCTGTGTTCTTTATATGAATGTATCCTACCACTCATAATTCAAATGAGGAAACTGAGGCTCAGAGAGCCAATGAACTAGTTAAGAGAAGAATCGGGAAAACTAATACTGAGCAAAATCTACTGCTATTTCCACTATGCCACATTTTCCTTCCAGTGAGCTTCCCATCAAGGCCTTTTTAATAATTTGTGGAGCAGTTAATGCAAATGAGAGCTCTCCACCCTTCCAAGTTATTCTTGTGGAACTGGGGCAACATGTGAGGAGAGACTCCATCTAGAGGCCTGTAAGTATAGTGCAGTCTAAAGATTACACACGTGATATTCAAATCTTACACACTCTCTAAAAGAATTTTGCAAATGTGTATACCCCTCAGATATTTTTAAGTTATCATCTAAAAATTTATCCTATGTCATAAAAATGTAATCCCTGGTGTATTAAAATATTCACATTTAAAATAAAACAGTTAGTTAATTATTCTATTTGTATCCCTTTGAAATCTGATTCCATTGCAACTTGATTCTCACAATAATCCAGCCAAAAGTTGTGGTATGCACTTTGCTAATAGTTAGAAATTTTATGTTTGTCCTCTTTTCTGGAAACCATATTTTCATTTCATATTGCTCACAAAATTTTGTTGCAATGCAATATATTTTATTCCTAAAAGCATTTTATTGATCTTCACAAAAAAAAAAGAATATAAATTAAGCCTCTTTAAAAATTTTTTTCCATGACTCTAAGATCCTGAAGGTTAAAATGTGTTTTGGATTGACTGATATTTACAAATATTATTAATACACAATTTATAAATAATTGCTAACCACAAAAGTGTACTATAATTGGAAATGCATTTTTTAATTAAAAAGATGGAAAATTTTTTAACCCTCTTAGTTTATATAAAATGTATGTGTTACTAAAATGAAACAGGAACAGTATTGATTATATTTGCTTGGGTTTTTCCCAATTTTTTATAGTTGCAGGTGCTGAGAAACTATATAGGAATGCCACTCAATTCTTTGAGCACCTTGAGGTTATTTGGCAAAAGTATATCATGATCTATGACCAAAGATGATTTTGATAAGCAATCAGATGTTTATTTTCTTCACAGTCTTTATCAGACAAAATAATCATATCCTTCATTTGTTTATTTTAGTCTCCCCTCCTGCGTCCCTATATCAGGACACAGATATTATAAAAGCAGAAATCTTGCCTGTATGCTTTGGAATAATGTCTGTCACATCATAGGTGCTTAACAAATATTTGTTGAACAAATGCCTGAGGCAACCCACATTCAAAGGAAAGGCAAGTACGGTGATTCTGTTAGGACAGGGGATAAGGGAAGATTGGATGTGTAGGTGATTGTGGTCTTCATGACCTCACTGTTAAAGTTTCCTTCTTCACCGTGAGTAGTAGCCTCTCTGAAGCACTATTGTTCCAGCAGAACAGGGATTCTCCTCCCATCCCCACATGTGCAGCGAGAACAGCTAATTTTCCTGTGTCTCTGGTCTCAGGTACCTTAGCAGCCTCCCCTCTAACTTCTCCTCAGTAAGTTCTCTTACTAGATCCCCCAGTAGGCTGAATGGCCGTCTGTGGTGTCCTTGGGTGATTTCGACGTGTCTACTGTTTCCGTGAAACTTTGTTTATTCCCCAGCTCCACGCAACTTAGGCAAACACTTCTAGAAAGTCCCAATAATACTTAACAATACCACACGTAACATTTCCATGCCATTGGAAGGTCTACACATTACATTTTTATATCTAATTTTTATAATTATCACGGGTTGTGAGGTGAACACCCTAAATTTGAAGGTGAGAAAACTGAGGCCCAGGAAGGTAAAAATCACACACCCAATATTACATCATCCTCAGATGGCTGAGTATGAGTTTGAATGCCTCAACTAGAAATAGTGTAGATTTAAATTTAAGCCCAGCTCTGTTCAGCAACTTACCAGGGAGACTACAAAAAAGTAACTTAATGTCTCCGAATTTTAGTTGACTCAGTAAAATGCAACCATGAAAATCATTTGATGTCAGAAGGGAATTAATACATTTATAGCCTTAACACTCCCCAGTACATTATTTTTCCTGCCATGAAGCAGTATTATTATTATCCCCATCTTAAAGATGAGAAAACTCAGGCATAACATAGCAGAACAGCATAGTCCTCAAGAATCTGGGCTTTGGGCCAAGCATGGTGGCTCACGCCTGTAATCCCAGC